GGTTTTACGGTATATATATATATATATATATACCGTAAAACATATATATATATATATATATATATATATATATATATATATATATATATATATATATATAAAGAGTTTCTTATAATTTTGCTTTAATTTAGTCAAAAAACTTACTGATTGATACTTTTATCATTAAACAACTGGTTATTTAGCTGAGTAGGTAACTATGATTCTTTAATAGAATCAGATATGAGTTAGAATATCAAATATCATAAATTCTTGATTTCCTACTCCTCCCTTTTTATCCAACTATCGTCAACGAAAACCGTTCCACACCCCCAAAACATTGACTCACCTGGATCAAAAAACTCGTCATCAGTTGACATCGATCTAAGCATTACTGAAGAAACAGCCGACTGTGGTCGAACAAGACGAGTTGGATTCCGACGATACTCTTCTGCAGTGATACCGTCTTGATCGGGCAAATCTTTGCGTGCTCCTAGATCGACGAGTGAGTCGTAAATGGCATTTGGTTGCAGGCGGCGTAATGAAGAGCCGTCCGTCCGAGCTGGGAAAAAAAAGATAGATGTAATGATTTGGAGGAGGATGATCATGTATTGAGTGGGATAGGAAGATAAGCATTGGACCCAAAACAACTGGAAAACAAGAATTACCGGATCTTTCAAATCGATTTGGTTTGAGAAATGAATGGCCAAATTCTCGACAATTTCATGTTTCTCTTTCAAAACGGCAACATGAAGTAGACGCATTCCTAGGAAAGAATGTTTGAATTGGTGTCTAATAAGTTATTCAGAATACGTTGATACCTCTGTGATCTCTCGTTTTCATCACATCTTCGTCAACTAACTGATCCAAACGTCTCGCTTCATTCTGCTCAATTGCCTCAATTGCACTGCTAAGCCGATTCTGAATTTGACGGAACTCTTGAACATGACGGGACAATTGGGTATTGCTGTGCTTTGTTGCTCTCCAAATTTGATCTCCTTTTCCTATAGATAATATTTAATTCAATTTTTTATATTACAAAATATCCAAACCCTCAATCTGAAGCTGCTCCAAAACTGTATAATCTTTGTTTCTGATCTCACTATTTTGAATTCTGCTGAGCACATCTGGTTCGAATCCTTCTGGTGAATCCGGATCACGACTTCTAGAAGAAGAAGATGACGTACTATAAGAGAGAAAGAATAGAAGAAAGAAAATATGACAGTACCTCATATTATGCTCACTCCTCGATCTCTTTCTGGCCGCCGCCTTCTCTTCAGCCGGCAGATGGAATCTTTCCTTATGCAGCAGAGCGGTTCGTGATGGCTGAAAGTTTAGGAACTGTCTCATTATTTTGAAAAATAAAATAAGTTTTGTATCGATTCTTAAAAGGAGTCAATATAGAAACAAGAAGTCAATATGTGTACGACAAGAGGGAATAAGTAATTTATGGATGACTGCACAAAAAGGTGTTTGGAGCTATGAGAAGAGAAGGTGAGGGACAAAATGCCTTCAGGATTTATTAGACTGGTTTCAAAGCCATAAAATGACTTTATTGCACTTGTTAATTTGATTTAAAGACTTCTCGGGAAGACTCCACATTTTAAATGAATATCAAAATCTTACAATCAGAATTCATTTAGAACATGGTACAGAAATGAATAGCATGCTTGTAAACCGGGCCCTGTTTCTCTTAGAAATGTATTTTCGACCAGTTCCGTTTGTAACTTTTTTCATAAACAAGATACAGGTTTGCAAATAATACCATTTTCTAGTACTGGCCTAGTTCTATCATACCTAATTTAGTTGGTCCAAAAATATTGATTCTAAAAGAAACACTGGCGGGGCTCGCGAAGGTCTGCCATGGTCCGGTTTACAAGTATGATTAATATAAACATTGTGAACAACAAATTATAACCAGATACATATAAAAACAAACTCACCCTGCGTTCTCTATTAGGAATTGCCAACAAAGTATCGGGGACAGTAGTCGTTGGCTCAACAAGCTGTGGAGGCTTCACAGGGCTGTACTCGATTGGTGTTTTGCCGCGCTGAAGACGTTATAATGATGCGATTATCAAAACGGAATACTACTTTTTATCCTCTCTAATATGTGTTAGTTTTTCCTGGAGCTCAAAAATACGTATCCATCTAAATCTAAATCGAAGAGAAATTCTAAAAAATGACATCCGTCTCGTCACTTCTTTTGCTCACCTTATCTTTGATATCCGCTGATTCTGGACAGATGTAGAGTAAGTAGTCGATGAGCTCATTCCGTCGTTTTCTTCAAATTCCCAGATTTAGATTAATTTGTTTTCGGTGCTGAGTTTTGGAAACGTTGCCTCGAGCACATTTCCTGTTTTCTATTCAAATGCACGGCTTGTGGTAAATAACTTACATGTAGGCATGATGAAGGGGTGTACGTCCATCTCGATCTCGTACCAAACCCATTCTTCTCTCACAAATCAATTGTTTGAGACTACGGTCATCTTCAGCTGCCACTGCATCCCAAATACCGAGAACTTGAGACTGAAGAAGGGTCAACGTCTTGATAAGTTCAGTATGTTCTGGAATGTTTGGTACATGAGTCATATCGAGAACTCCGTTGATGATGTCATTCATGAAGTCTTGTGGAGTCTTTGAGGCGAATCTTACTTCCCACTCGGTTTCACGGGGAACCGGATCTGCAAAAATTAGCGAAGTTGTGTGGGATGTTGTGATTGACAGAAAATCTGAAACCCGATAGTCCAGAAAACACTTATGATATTATGATAAGCAAATATCTAATTGACAATTTCCTTATATCGTTGATAGGAAACGAGTAAAAAGTTTAGGGAATCTTCTATTGAAGACCTTACGGTATTAAGATTTTTTAAAAGAAAAAGACTCAACCTGTTGATATACAGATCTGTGATACAGTGACATCTGCTGTTCTTTTATAGTTTCCATTCCTATGTTTACTTGTATTCAAATTTCGCTTTTTATCTCTACTTACAAACATTCGTGTATCTGGCTCTATCCATATCAATCAATCCCGGATTATTGCGCACATCTTGAGCTGTGAACCCCTCAGAATCCGGCAGATTATCTTTGGCCCCTTTCTCCAACAATATGAAGTATAGAGACGGATCTTGATTGAGCCCATATAAAGCGGCCGCGTAATGCAGCGCGGTTCGTCCCTCCTGAAATAGAACATGATATCATGTGAGACACTGCGTCACTCTTCTTACGTTGTCATGCATATTGATCGTATTCAAAGAGTAATCAAGTATGGCTTCAACTATAGGCTTGTGGCCATTTAAAACTGCCAAGATTAGAGCAACACTTCCGGTGTTTGGGTGGGCAATCTGAAGGGATCTGAATGCGTGGGGTTTCCTTTCATTTAGAAAATTACCTTCAAAGCTTGTGGGGACATTTTTCTGGAGACTTCCAATAAATTTCCTTTGGCAACAGCAGAAAGGAATTCACGAGCTCTGGTGGCAATGCTCTCGCGCCGTCGTCGTACCTGGAAGTTTCTGTTTCAGGTGAATTCATTCTGAATTCTTTGAAATATGATGTTGGTATTAGAGATGTCCGGAATTACTATTTGAGAAACGGAATCCGGAACAAAAACACGCGGAATCCGGAACTTTCGAAATTTCGCGGGAGTGAAATCTTGCTGTTTAACATATTTGCTGAAATTCCGGATAACATAATTTTCTCAGAATCCAGAATTCAGAATAAATGATTTTTTTTTGTAATACGGAATATGGAATCCAGAATCCGGACATATCTGTTTGGCAGGAACCAAAAACGTTTTTATTTGATCTATGCAAATATTTCCATTTTTCCAAAACTAACCGTTGCTTTTTGACTTTTTCCAGGAATGTTTGGCGGTGTTCCAGGCGCATCCATTTGGGCGTTCAAAATAAGCGGAGGTGGTCGCATGGTGTGCATATGTGTATCTTTTTTTGCTCACTGGATTATATCAATATCAGCTAAATTATGAAAAGGGGCGAGAAGAAAAAGAAGAAAAAGAGTGTGAAGAGATGGGAGAAAAAGCTTAAATATGGAGAAGTTGAGGGAGGGGATAATATGACGAAATGAAGGGGGGAACTTGCTTCTGAAAATGGACAGAATGAGAGATAAGAGTGTGACAATGAATGGAGTCGTAATTGATCAAATGCGAAATCCGATCTCCTCTCTTCCGTTTCGATTGTCTCTCTTATCTTTTTTCCAGAGAGCCATCCTAATCCTTTTTGTGAGTGGAATGGATTTGGAAGCGACTCTCGAAAGCTTTATAATAATATCAACCAAGAGCATACATTCATTGAATGTAGGCAAGCGCAGTGAGGGATTATTGGGAATCCATAGTTTTTAAATCACGAGCAGAGAGGAAAGAAGTCCGCATTTCCATAGACTATGGGGGATTTAGCCAGGGTCTAATGAAACTACTGTAATCCATTTGGCAGGTGATAAACGGGTAAAAAACTGATAAGCTATTGAAAGACGAACATTAAATGAAAGACATATTTGATTTATTAGGTATTAATTACATCGAAAATAATGACTCTAACCATTAACAGAAGGTTTTTAATTTTAAAAAAAGCAATATCCGGTGGAATTCCAAAAAATATGAATCAGAAGAGATTCTGATTTTCTTCTATTATGGATTCTAGTTTGGGTGGAAATTAATGCAAAAACAAGGAGAAAGACTAAAAGCAACATGTACAACGAGGTTAAATTTAAAACGATAAAAACGGTTAGTGGTATTGTTTAAGAAGGAGTTGTGATAGGTTGTTGCCACTCTCGTTATGCTCTTCTTCTTCATGACTTTCAGAATTTTGGAGCAACGAAGCAATTGAAGACGTGGCAGCGTCTTCTCCAGAAGTGTCCGAGAGATTGGCGTCATCTGGATCCTCTATTTCTTTGTTTGAATCGCTGAAATTTTTAAGCAAAGAACCGATGTCTAGATTTCCACTCAAAGTGTGAAGCAGAGGGAATATCGACTGAGCAAGAGTGGAGTTATCTGAATTTAGTTTTTTTATTGGTTATATTATAATTGTCTTACTGTTAGCAATAGAAGCAATATCAAAATGTTGAATAAGAGGAGGATTCAAACTCTGGGGAGATGGAGATTGGCGAAGTAAAAGTGCTCCACTAAGAACATCGATTCGGTTTGTCTCATTATCCAGAATCGAAACACTCTCTACTGATCTTCTTTCCGTTTTGTATGTATGGAATACATCTCTTTTTCTGACAGCCGTAATTGAATCCTCATTTTCATCCAAACTCATTTTAATTAAACTATGATATTTGGATGGAAAGTGTTCATCAATCAACATTTCTGGAAGTCCTTGCTTGAAATCTTTCACTTGCTCCGCAGAAATCGATCCAAGCTTTGGTTTCCCATTTTCCAATCCGTAGCAAATCGAGAAATGTCCAATGTTTTCATCGCAGAAACGGATGAGCATTGAAGAGTTTCTCTCGATGTATGCGAATGAAGTTGCGGCTTTTTGAGTAGAGCAAAATGTGATGAATCTAAAAATTTAAAAATTATCTAATCAACCGAAAACTCTGAAAAATACCCTTTATTAAAGAGACTAATGACAGTTTGATAATCTTCGCATGCTGCCATTTGTTTCTTGGTTTTCGAAGATTTCTTGTCACAAGCGGGAGATGGACACAATTTATGACCCACATCCTGAATCATTTCACAAGATTTATGCAACCATTGCCAGGTGGTATGAGCTAATTCTGTGCTCATGTCAAGAACAGATATGCACTTTTCAAGAATGAATTCTTTTCGATCCACCGGAAAACTGTCCAGGATTGATTCAGACAGTAGTCGATTTCTCAATCTCCTCATTTCTTCGTGTAGATCTCTCTTTTGAGTTCCAATCGATCCGAAGAGATTGATTTCCATCAATTGTAGGTCACTTAGATCACTACAACGCAGGATTCGTGGTAAGAGAAGCATCACTTGAACGTGTCTCAACTCGTACTCTGTCAGAAATCTTGCTTGAGGGATTTGTGATTTTATGAATGCGCGGATGGCTTGACGTAGAATACCCCATGGTAGTTTGTTTTTTTCTGGGAAGATTTCTGAGCCATCCTGAAAATGAAAAAGATTTCAGAATGTTCATCTCATAAAAATTATTATTACATATTGATCACAATTGAGAAGTCTATTCCAGAAAATTGACTGGAGAAGAGGTTCAGTTTGATCGTTGGTGATGGCAATCAGGAATGGATGGCTTACAAGAGTCTTAAATGAGCTTTTAATTTTCAATATGATATGTTACTCCTTACATGGACTACAATCATTTTGTTATCGATATTCAGATGAACTTCAACTTGAATAGCATATCGAGTGGATAATTGACGGCGATCGACCATCGAATTCAAAGTTACTCCCTACAAACTTATCGTTTAGTGGATCGAAAAACCCATAGTATTTGGTTACCATCTCTGGAAATGTGGCACACAGAAAACCATTCTCATATTTCAACGAAGTCGTTCGCACATTTGATTCTTGCAATTGATTGGCAAATATGAGAATTTGAGCGTTGCTCGAACTCTAGAAAAGTTTTTAAAGAACTCAAATAATATTCTCGAAAGGTACCTGTGAGCACAGAAGTTTTCCCTCTGCATTGACAACAGCCCCGCTCTGTTCAGCGCTTTTTGTCGCAGCGATTCCTTCTCTTTGAGTCAAAATCATTTTTCCGGCCAGTTGTCGGTACTTGGAATCTGGAGAATCGGATCCCAATTTGACGAGTGATGCACGATAGAATGCTTCCACAATTTGAGGACAACTCATTTCGTTTCCCTCGGATATTGCGTAAATTCTGAAAAGAGACTGTGATACAATTACCGTAAGACTTGTAATAGAAGGGTCCCTTAATTTTTTAATTTGAGCCAATTTGCATCGGTTACTGTCGAAAATTCAAAAAAGTTGTCAACTGATAAACTCTTTTTCCTAATATCAAAAGCATTTTGTCAGTTGGCGCATTTTCGATATGTTTCATGGAAGCCAAGAAAACATCTGCTCAAACTGGACAGTGTGGGGCACGATATACTGAGTTCAAATTTGGAGTGCAGTAATTAAAGTTCATCAGTAAACTGAGAAAGTTTCAAATTATTTGATCAACTTTGAACTGAGTTCTCGCTTGTCAAAGTTGCTTCATCTCATGAAAATCACAAGAAACATTACGTCGTTCATGTTTGGGCAATCATAACAATAGCTAGACTTGAGGAATCGCTTCGAAAATTTCACTAGCTTTGAATCAAACGTAAAATTATATTTCTACCAATTTTTGATCTTCCAAAATACTTGTGTCCAAAGATACACCTGTTTTTATCACTCCGGGTAATTGTACGCCACCCTGTACAGTACCGATCACAAATTTATTTATGCGAAAGTTTAAAGGTCTG